TATATTGTTTGATTTGATAGTTTATTCATGTCTACTATCCAATGTGATTCTCTTACTTATATGATTACCTTGAATGTGATTTGGAACAAATTCCTAAATTTCATTCTTACTCTGGCCAAAGATTCTTAATCATATTATAGAGTATTCTCCCTCAAACGGTTTAAAGGTTAGAGATCCCTTGTTGTGCATTCACTTGCCTCCATGGCTAAGTGGCTTAACCCCAACTATGTTGTGGAAACCCTTTGAAGGAGTGACTTTGACATAGTCAAAGATCAAGGACCTGACCATAAGCCAACTATGATGCCTCAGGCCAAATGACTACTTTGCATTATCCCAACCATGAGTTTTCATGTGACATGAGTATGAGAACTTCTTTTTGATCGCATTCAGTGGACTCATTCTCTATTGAGCACTTACATGCTTGTCTCGGTGTCAGTCACAACAACGACTTGCGACCAGTCACTTTCTCTAAGAGAAGACATATCACGTACTGATCTTAACGGACTGTCAATGCCCAATTGGCAATCCTATGATCAGGAACGTGTAGGATATGTATAGGAAAGACAATGGTCTCATGAATCTAATTTTAGATCACATTCTCCCAATTACATATTCCTTGGACTTATTGTTTAAGCATATAACATTTACATGAGCCGACTTTAAACAATAATTTTTGCCCTTTATATTAAACTAGATTAGTTTAACATGTGAAATGTCCATAAAGTATCATCATATTATTGGCTTTAAGGCACATTTCCAACAAATTCTCCTTAGTTTTGGCTTGCAGATTTAGAGGCATCAAACCATATGACAGCTGATCTTCAAAATTTGTCTCTGGCTTCTCCATATCTAACCACTGAGCTTGTTTAAACTGCCAATGGTAAAGGTTTGACTGTGTCCCATATTGGCAGCAGTATTATAAAGTCTTCTCCTCATCCCATTATGTTGAATTCCATCTTATATGTGCCTAAGTTGACTCATAATCTATTATTAGTTCACAAAACATGTCTTGATAACAATTGTTGGCTCATTTTTTATGCCTATTGTTTTTTGATCCAGGACAAAGCCATAGGGAGGATACTATACAAAGGCCTTTGCAGTAATGGACTCTATCCCATACCAACTCTTGCTCAATCTCAATCTCACATTCATCAAGTTATTGCTTGTCTTGGACAACTTGTCAATTCCAGTGTTTGGCACAATTTAGGTAATCCTTCTAATACTACCACCTCATTGATGCTAAATAATGCTAGTATTACTTGTGATAAAGATGTTGTTCCTACTATGTGTCAAAGCTGTTTAGAGGGAAAATTTACTTTGGTTACCTTTTCCATCTAGAACTCATCAATCTTCTACGCCATTTGAAATTGTACACATTGACCTTTGGGGTCCTGCGCCTTATACTTCCAGAGATGGTTTCAAATACTATGTCACCCTTATTGATGAGTGTACTCGATTTTGTTGGATATTCCCTCTCATAAATAAATCAAATTTATTTGCCACTTTTGTGCGTTTCTGTTCATATGTACATACTTAATTTTCTACTACTGTCAAATACTACAAATTGATGGTGGTGGTGAGTATGTCATTCACAAATTGCAATCCTTTTTACAATAACAAGGAATTATACACCATAAATCCTACCCATATACACCTCAACAAATGATTTGGCTGAGCGTAAACATAGTCATATTATTGAAACCATAATCACATTACTTCAACATGCTTCTCTACCATCCAATTTTTTGTCTTTTGGTTGTCAAACTGGTGTTTATCTCATAAACAAAATGCCTACTCCCATTTTACAAAATATATCCCTTTTTGAAGCTTTGTACGGAAAACCCCCTGTAATATCACATCTTAAGATATTTGGCTGCTCATGCTTTCCTTTTCTTAGACCTTACAATGCATCTAAATTACAACTAAAGACCACCAAATGTGTCTTTCTTGGATATGCCTCTCAGTACAAGGGTTATATTTGTTTTGATGTAAATATTACATATCTAGGCATATGGTATTCAATGAGTTGGATTTTCCATATAAAGAGTTGGTTTCTCAGGGTCATCATTCTTTATACCTGTGCCCTCTAACAACAATTTCCACACATTAATTCCCACACTTGATAATATTTTGGTTTCTTCATCATCTGGAGGTTCTATTTCACACCATACACATACTGTCTCTGTAACTCAATAGTCCTTGCCACTTGTCCCCATTTCTCATGCAGTTTCTTTTTCACATTCTCCTCAAAGTCCCCTTGTTTCTCAACCACAGTCACAACCACAGTCCATTACTGCTAGTAACAATTCTTCCTCTACACTCCTTGTGGATTCCATACATAGTCCTGAGGATTCTGTGAGCTCATCATTTAGTCCTGAGAATCTGCAAGTGGTTCTTCCTATTGCTCCCATTAATTTGCATCCTATGCAAACTAGGAGCAAAAGTGGTATTAGCAAAAGAAAGGCATTACTTACTACTTTGGTTGAATCTAGTGAAATGGATCTGTCAGTTATTAAACCTACATGTTATAAAAATGCTTTTAAGGTTCTAGTTTGGTACAAGGCTATGCAGGAGGAAATATATGCTATTCATTCTCAAGGGACCTGGTCTTTAGTATCATTACCATCTCAGAAGAACCTTGTAGGTTGCAAGTGAGTTTTGAAACTCAAGAGGAACTTTGATGGCTCAATTGCATGACACAAGGCTCGTTTGGTTGTAAAAGGTTTTAGTCAAGAACCTGGTTTAGACTTTGGTGAGACCTTTAGCCTTGTGGTTAAGCCAACAACAATGAGATTAGTTTTGTCCCTTGCTGCTCATTTTGGCTGGCCTCTTAGGCAATTAGATGTGAAAAATGCCTTTTTGCATAGTTTTTTTTGCAAAAGGAGGCTTATATGTCACATTCTTTGGGGTTTGAAGATTCTAATCATCCACATCTTGTTTGTAAACTTCATAAGTCTCTTTATGGCTTCAAATAGGCCTCTCAAGCATGGAATGAACAGTTCATTGCATTTCTTCTAAAACTTGGGTTCAAATCAACATATTCTTATACTTCTCTATTCATACACACAATTGGCAGTGATGTTGTGATTCTATTATTATATGTTGATGATATTATCATTACTGGAAGTTCAATGGTTGTGATTCAACAGGTTATTCATTCTCTTACTTCTGAGTTTGACCTTAAAGATCTTGGGGATTTGCATTATTTCCTTGGCATACAAATCACTAGAACAGCTTCTGACAGTCCAAGTATATTCAAGACTTGTTGCAAAAAATAGAAATGCTTGAATCCAAGCCTTGTGACACTCCTTGCTTACCTTATAACAAACTTTTGAAGGATGATGGCATTCCATACAACAATCCCACTGCCTATCGAAGTATTGTGAGTGCCTTACAATACTTTACATTCACCCGTCCAGATATCTCATTTTATGTGCACCAAGTTTGCCAATTTATGTAGAATCCTACGGTGTCTCATTTTACTGCAGTGAAAAGAATATTAAGGTATTTGAAAGGCACAATGCAACTTGGACTTACTTATCCGAAGAGTGATCTGACCATAAGAGCTTTTAGTGATGCTGATTGGGCAGGCGATTCAAATGATCGAAGGTCAACCACTGGATTGGTGTTGTTTCTCGGTTCAAATCCTATGTCTTGGTCTTCCAAGAAATAGCAAAATGTCTCTCATTCTTCCACAAAGGCTGAGTATAGGGCTATGTCGACTACATCTGCTGAGATTGATTGGATATTACAACTTTTTGCATTTCTATAGGTTAAAATACCTTTTCATCCCGTTCTCTTTTGTGACAACTTGCCTGCTATAGCATTATCTTTTAATCTTATCCAGCATCAAAAGACAAAACATATCGAGATGGATGTTCACTTTGTTAGGGAGAGGATTGCAAAAGTAGCTTGGAGTTCAGTTTGTGTCTTCTCGAGAACAATTTGCAGATATCTTCACTAAGGGTCTCAGTGCACCTTTATTTCAAACTCATTGTAACAATCTCATGCTTGGCTTATCCAAACATGAGATTGCGGGGGGGGGGGGGTGTTAGAGTAGAATAATGGTAGATATAGTGCCACTTGTCAACTCAATGTAGGAGTAGTTAGTTACGATTGTTGGTAAAGCGGTTATGATGTATGGCTTTACTATAAATAATAGTTGTGATGTAATAACTTCTTAGCTCAGTAATAGTAATCGGAATTGTTATTCGTACTCAAAATATCTCATTTTGCACTCCAAACTTTCTATAATTAGAAAGAAAATTAAACTTATGAAGAGTGTAGAATGAGATTTTTGGAGTGCTAATAATAGTTCCCATAGTAATACAATATACATAAACCTTTCATTTCTCTCCCCGAGCTCCCTCTCTCTCTCTCTAAGTTTCATCATTTCTTGATTAAAGACTGATGCTTAACAATAAATGGGGTTTGTGGAATATTCTTTTGAGAAACCAAAATATTAAAAATAAATAATTCATGGCAAATCTACAACCCCACACAAAATACAGAAAGTGATTGCGTACGTTCACTCCAATTTACATAAACCTTTCATTTCTCTGCCCGAGCTCCCTCTCTCTCTCTAAGTTTCATCATTTCTTGATTAAAGACTGAAGCTTAACAATAAATGGGGTTTGTGGAATATTCTTTTGAGAAAACCAAAAAATTAAAAATAAATAATTCATGGCAAATCTACAACCCCACACAAAATACAGAAAGCGATTGCGTACATTCACTCCAAGTAAGTCGTCGATGGATGTTTGAAAACCAAAATCCACCACCCATTTTCTCTTATTCTATGTCATCAAATATTCTAATAGTCCTCCGAGATATAGTCGTTAAATCTTAATTTTTATACGTTCTAACTAAAAACTTGGCGTTTAAAAGTTTGAAGTATCCGACAATTCAGATAACCATATTAAATCCTGTCAATATCATACAACTGTATTGTAAATTGTAGTACCAATCCTATTCCCATATTAAACCATCTCTGTTTTTCTTCCCCCCAATAAGTACGTACTACAACCAAACCCGTTAAAACCAATGCCCCTCTCTCCCTTCTCTCCAAACCCATAAGTCAACAACTATGGCTCCACCTCTCCCTCGCTTACTCCTCCTCTCTTCTCTCCTCCTACTCTGCCTCACCATCCCCTCCTTAGCCCACAGTGGCCACCACCACGACGATGAAACCGAACCCGACACCAACGACAGAGAAACCCCGCATGACCTTCGTTCGAGGCCTCTAATACTAGTCAAGATTTGGTGCCTCATCATAATATTTTTTGGGACGTTCGTACCCGGAGTTTCGCCTTATTTCTTCAAGTGGAATGAAGGGTTCTTGGTTTTGGGTATCCAGTTTGCTGGGGGTGTGTTTTTCGGTACGGCTATGATGCACTTTCTGAGTGATTCCGATGAGACTTTCAAGGACTTGACCCAAGAAAATACCCTTTTGCGTTTATGTTGGCTTGTGGGGGCTTCTTGCTTACAATGCTTGCTGATTGTGTCATTTCCTATGTGTTCCTCAAGAAGAAGAGTGTTGTGTCTGCTGCTGATCTTCAGGTTCAGGGTAAGTGCATTTGGTCTTCTAGATTTTGTTCTCTTTGCTTGCTGAGTGAGTGAAATTCCTTGAATGGGAAATTAAAACACACACGCATTTTAGCCTCACACACACTTCTTTTTAATCATTTCCGTTCATTCTGTTTGATTTACTCAATCCAACAACAACAACAACAATAGCAACAAAGCATTTTCTCACTAAGTGAGGTTAACTATATAAATCCTAGAATGCCATTGGGTTCGGTTCTATGTCATGTCTTCCGTTAGATCTAAGTACTCTAAGTTTTTTCTTAAAGTCTCTTCCAAAGTCTTCTTAGGTCTTCCTCTACCCCTTTGACCCTAAAACTTTGTCCCTTAATCGCACATTCTAACTGGAGCGTCAGTAGGCATTTGTTTGATTTACTCAATCCGATAGCTAAAAATAAAGAAATTTACAGGTTTGTGTGAGTAGCTAAAAGGGTGTGTGAGAATCACATTCCTACCTGTTTCCGTTTTATTTATTCAGTTCGACGACCAAAAATATAAAAATATAAAGGGACTAAAAGTGTGTTGAAAATCACTGTCCTTGAATAAACAACTGTTTGGTGTTGGATTTTTGTTGCTTTAGTAACAATTGTCGTCTATGAGATTTGAACTCCGACCTTTTCAAACTTAAATAAGTGGACACGGGGGTGCCACTAAACGGACTGTATGTGTGTTTTTGCTGAGAGTTGTGATTGCAACCATAATTTATAAAGCAAAACTAGGCTTGAGGGTTGACTGTAAAACTAGGGCAATCAAGTGATAGTTTATTATCACTGCAGGTAATACCAAGCAGGGAAAAGGTGGTCAATATGGCACTCAGGTAAGATATATGCTTGCTAAATTCATAATCTTCTGGTTGGTAATCATATCAGGATTTCCATACGTATTGGGGGATTACTCGGTGGTGGTTCTGAGACTGACTCGAAACTTATTTTTGATTGACCTGACAGAGCCATACCCAAAACACTGGGTTGCAAGCGCTACTTCACTTGGGGACAACATCTTGTTGATAGTAGCCTTGTGTTTCCACTCTGTGTTTGAGGGCATTGCAATTGGAGTTGCTGAGACTAAAGCCGATGCTTGGAAAGCCTTATGGACAATTTCTCTTCACAAGGTATTTGCCGCCATTGCCATGGGCATTGCTCTCCTTCGAATGATGCCTAACCGTCCCTTCTTGTCATGTGCTGCCTGCGCTTTTGCATTTGCTATTTCAAGTCCTATTGGTGTGGCAATCAGGAATCCTAATAGATGCGACAACCCAAGGAGCTGTGGCTGATTGGATATTCGCGATTTCAATGGGTCTAGCATGTGGAGTGTTCATCTACGTAGCAATAAACCATTTATTGGCGAAGGGCTATAGACCCGACAGAGCAGTTTCAGTCGACAAACCCCAGTACAAGTTTCTGGCAGTTTTGTTGGGTATTGGGGTAATAGCTGTTGTGATGATTTGGGACACTTCAAGTCATTGTTCGTGCACGATTTGTTTGTGGAAGATTGCGGTGGGAAGTTGTTTGGACCCAAAATTACATCATCAGCCTGTGCAATCAAGGCCGTTGAATGGACATAGCTCCCAACCATTGGATGAAAAATGAAGATAATTTTGTTATTATTAAAGGATAATATTATGGTTTTTATCATAATTATCTTTTAGTGATTTATCTTGACATTTTCTTATGAAAGATGAAAATATATCTCCAACTGGAAACATGGCAGCACAATTCGAGTTGAGTTGGATGTTTGACATGTGGATGTGTGGTTTGGATCGATTTTGGTGGACAGATATGCATGCATACGATAAGGGTGAAGTAAAAATGGTGATAAGATGTCAACACAATCTGATTAGAATCGTAGGGATACATGGTCTTCATGCATGCTTTGGTAACTTGTAGATGGAATTGTTTTGGGAAGTGAACTGCCGTGTGTGACCTTCTAATTAATTCATGGATGGGATTGGTGCACGTAGGCTTTATCTAGGGGTATGGCGATTATATGAATTACCTTTTAGAGTTTAAGTGGATGAAGGAATCATCATGCATGCATGCGGTCTTTGGTGGAAGGTTATTGTACATGCATAGATAAAGGTTGTGATGGTGGAATAAAAGTATCATTGAATATTCTTGGCAGGATGCCAATAATCTAGCCCATCAAGATTGCATCAGGTTGCAGGGTAACAACAAGTTTTGATTGATGCGATAAGACGTGTGGATAGCAGCAAATAAAGATTCAGAGTCACATTGCAATTAGGATTGTTTTCTGGGACTTGGGCATGCAGATTTCTATAAAAACCAAGCGGCAAAAAACTAAAAAAGCCCCCTCAAATTCAACATACAAACTGCCCTGCGCAAATCCTCGCTCTACGCGAAACTTCTCAACAACCTTGAGATTTTTTATTTTCCTTTTTCGCCAACACATCTTCAGTTTGGATAAACAGCACTGTGAAGACAACCGGCGAACATCTTCAGTTTGGATAGACAGCACTGCGACAGGGCCGACTGGTTATCTATCTAAGTCTCGGTTGAGAATGATTTCGAATCCTTATTGGCAGAGGTCATCTCATTAGCCTTCTCGGCGAAGTGAGGTGTTACAAGTTACTACATTCGGCACATTGAAAGCCGAATTTGATATTGAACTTCGCATAACTAGCAGCCTTGTCTTCAAGCTCTAGAACCCTAAGGCCAAGATGTGTTCCTTCCTCGGCCGCAGTTGCAAGATCAAGAAGTTAGTCACGCTCAATACAACATCAACACATTTTACTCCTCTGCCGAGCTCGGCCGACGAGTTGGCATGCCCCGCATCAACCGAAGGATGTAGTTAGCTCATTAGTTACTCAATCTGCGCACCACGTAGGCTTGGTAGTTTTTAAGGTCAACAGAAGTTTAGATTTGTAAGTAGCAAGGCAATGGATTGATAGATGTAATTTTAGATTTTTGCTATCGTATGTTATTAGTTCAGGATAGAGAGCACTTGTAAATATCTCCAAGAATGTTTTTATTGCTTATGTGGCTTGGCAATCATCTGGATGATGATCATCTTACATACAAATACATAAAATTGTATGCGTATCGATACAGTTATAAACAGATCGCTTTGCGGTTTATATATACAAGCAATATTTGGGGAAGAGGATCGAACTCAGTATCCTTAACCACTAAAGACAAGTCCCTCAGGCTTTCCAAGTCAAGCAGCGTATCCTAATGCCATTGAACTACAGCCAAATGCCATCGTTATGTGTATTTTATTTCTTCTATTTGATTCGCACAATAATCACTTCTCTAATCTCTAACATCATGTCTACCTCTGAATGGGCGCGGAAGTTGCACCTTTGTAATGGTACCATGATCAAAGGGATATAGCATTTCCAGCTTTTGGTGTTGCTGCGGAAGCTGTTAGTAGAAAGCGTGAGGAGGAAGACTTCGATTCGGCCAAATGAACTTGACTTCTTTGCTTTCTTTTCTAGTTTATTTGCAAGTTAAGTATTGTGTTCATTCACTTCTTGATGCATGTCAATAACTGTGATCCTATGCTATGTTATTATATGCTTACAATCCAAACCTTCCAACTTTTTCTCATGCACCACTAGAACATGGATTGCTACAATCTTCTCAAGCTCTCTTTCTCTTCCTCTTCCTCTTCCTCACCCTCTCCACATTGGCCTACAGAAGCCACGACGATGATCAAAGTGAAACCAACAAGAAACAACGGCATTCGCAGCCTTCGCACCAAGCCCCTAATACTCGTAAAGATTTCATGCACAGATTTCCTTATGGGGACATTTTCAGCCGGAATGTCGTCCTACTTCTTCAAGTGGAACGAGGGGTTTCTGATTCTAGGCACACAGTTTGCTGGTGGTATATTTCTGGGAACAGCTCTCATGCACTTTCAGAGTGATTCAAACAAGACTTTCTGTGGTTTTGTATGTGTATACTAAGCAGGACGGTGACCCTCAAGTTCAATGATTCTGGACTGTCCCTCCTTATCATGCCCGGCATATGGTTTTCTGTCTCCATTTCCAGTCCGACTGGTATCGGAGTTGGGCACAACTCAAGATAGAAGGCGGAATGGACCTCCGCCATTTCGATAGGTCTGGCATGCGGTATGTTCATATACGTATCCATAAACCATCTGCTTTCAAAGGGTTACACAGCTCACAAGGCAGTCTCTGTTGACACACCCCATTACAAGTTTCTGGCTGTGCTGTTTGGAATTGTAGTAGTATCGGTTGTCACGATCTGGGACACGATATAATCATGCAAAGGTAGGAGCTTGTCGTTCAAGTAGTTAACTGCATTCACCCTGTACTCGATGTCTATTTGATTCTATCCTCAATAGCGCTTGTAAAATTGTAAAAATAAAAATAATGCTAAATATTGATTATCTTGTTCACCTTGATTCATGACTAAATTCAGGGACCAAACTGTGTACTTTAAAAGGTTCCCACAAAAGCACAGATTCAGAATGGAAAGACATAATTTCAGAAAGGAGAAACTCCCAACGGTTGTAAAACTTCTCCTTCAACACCTGCTTTAACTGATTTCAAACAGGTGGTATTGCTGTCAAGAACTCCATCATCGTATAGTTAAGAACTGTCTCGTTTAAGCCACTTAAATTTGCCCATGTGCAAACAAAACGTCAGACAAGTCATCCCCGGGACTCAAAGTTCTCCATGGTAAACTCTCCCAAGGCAAGCTGTTACAATAAAAGGCCCTGCCAAATCCCCCAAAAGACAGCCTGCGAAAAAAGAAAGAAAAATTACATATACACTTACAGATGATTCACTTACTAATAGATACAGACCGATTAGGTAATTCACTTACCAATCCACTGGCCAGATGAAGGGCGGATAAGGGAGGCACCAATACCAGCCCCAATGGAAGCAAAAACTAGTGATGCACCACACCTGATAGTAGTAACTGTAACCTTCTTCCCAAGAATCTTAACTTGTTCTGCCGTATCGATGTCATCAACCTCTTCTCTAGACTTTATTGTACGAGAAATATATCGGTAGACTTCAATGCCAACTTGGATGAGCCATGACGCTGCCACACCTAGAAAGTGCCCTGAGTAAACAAGTAAACATGGACAGCACAGTGAGAATGAAAGCTCAATCAACCAACAACAGTGACCATGCCATTTTTTTATTCATATTTGACAGAATACATGAATAGAATATTACCTCTGAAAGTTGTTTTGCTAACACTAAAGAAGAAAACTAAAGTAGGCAATCTTCTTCCAGCTTTCCGCATGGCAGACTTAGGAACATCTGTAGATTTTGTAACTAATTAATTAATCATATTTACACGCTTGTTTTTTGAACTTAATCTTCTCAAATAAAAGTAGATTTGGGATTATTGTGGAAAGAAATTACCTTTGAGAAGTTTCCATGCCATTCTCTCTGATACATAATGGACACAAATTCGTTCCAAAATCCGTCTAGTGGTTGCAACAGAAGTCTGCAATGGATGCAAAACGTAACTCAATTGGAAGATGCAAAACTTTGTTGAGTTCAACAATAGAAGTGTAAAATTATGTATGCTGTTTAATTAAGTAGTTATATTTGGACAAAAAGAAAACCCTAGAACTGCTTCAGGTGAAAGCTGTATTGTGTGATGTCAGTGGTGGCGGGGAGAGAGAGAAGAAATTTCCTGTGCTAAAAAGTAAATAAAGACGAAAAAAAATCGAAAGGTGAATGCAAAGAGGTAAATCAACTGGTTGCTGATTCAACAACTAATGAACATTTCCATCACATTTCAGAAATAACTTGTTTCGTGATAAAATTGACTTTCAAAATAAATATGATTAGTACACACTTGCATCTGGCCTATAAACCAGCAGAACTATACACATCGACGAACAAGACAAAAACATCTGAGCACCTAATTCTGTTTAAATTTATCCACCTTTAAACATCCATAGAATTCAAATAACTGTCAAGCTACTTATGATGTACAAGCAGCGCATACTGATTTTAAAGTATAAAAAAAAAAAAACATGAAAATAAGCACCTAACTGTTAACGTGGAATCCTCCTTCAAAGATCCATCAATTGCTAATAACTGTTGTGGATACTTATGATGCATAGTGCATACGGATTTAAAAGTATCATAATTTCAGTAAGGCGTTCCTCAAAATTAATGTTATCTTCGCTGGACAAAATTTCCAATAAGGTATCTTCATTCTACAATGAGACCTTCACAGAGGGTTAAGTCAACAATCTGAGGCATATCAGGTCTGGTGTTATGACCAACAAAGTATAAAAAATAATCATTACGGTTTTTAATTCCGAAAACCACTGTTCAGAGACACCATGGAACCAACGGAAATAATTTAAAGACGACGTGTATGAATGGAACTTCTTAAACTAAATTCAAAACAGAAACAAGAACGTAGGAAAAAACAACTGACCTCACGAATAATCTGCACTACTGATTTTTTGAGAGGAACAACATAATCTATAGGTTGCTTTTCTTCATTGTCTGGC